CTCTCTCTCTCTCTCTCTCTCTCTCTCTCTCTCTCTCTCTCTCTCTCTCTCTCTCTCTCTCTCAGAGTTTAGAAGGTAAAAGTAGAAACCACTGGGAAATGTGTTAGAAAGTCATTGCTTGGGTAAAGGCTTCAGGCATTACAGGCTACCCAGGAAGACTGTGAGACCCTGTTTATTGGGGTTGAACAAAATACCCAGTCTCCTGCCTGGCAGTCCCTCCTGAGTTTTAGCCCTTATAATGCAGTTTTGGAGTCAGACAGTGTGGAGTCGGTGGCTTCACAATAGCTTGTAATTACCCAAGAGCTTCTGCCATTGGCTTGACCCGATAGCAGTGGCTAGTGACTCCTGGTGTTTAGGCTGGGCTGAGAAACAGGGTTTTAGAATGAATTCTGCAGGGAGCATAGTCATCAGCTAGTTTACTCCCTCACCTGTGTAAGGAGCCAGGACCAGAGAGTCTGAGGATACAGGGTGAGTGTACATCCCCAAACTTACTAATAAAGATGTTCTTAAATATATGCTTAGAGACTGGTTGCTTGGACTGTGAGGCATGGTGTTTTCCAGAAGTCACTGGCCTTGTACTGTAGCCCGTTCACCTTTGCCCCTGTCTTCAGATCAAAATATAAGAGAGAGATAGAGGAAATGAAAATGTAGCCATCGTCTTAGCTGAAAGAGCCAGCTGACACCACTGCTGTGTGTGGCTTGTCCTCTGTAGCTTTCTTGGTGGGCGTAGAGGCTCCTTCTGGTGGTGGGCTTCACTGCCACTCCAAGAAGGGCACCTGCTGCAGTCCAGGTGAAAGAGTCAGGCTGGAATCGGGTCAAAGGCAAATCTTTACAGGAAAACTCTTTACAGGTTTTCACTGTTTCCCCGTGGAAGGCAGCACACAGCTTTCTACCATGAGACCCTGTGATAAACCCGGGAGTCAGCTCGGGTCCTGTATTCTGTCACCCTCGTGACAGTGTGGGTCTGACTGATGTGGCTGGCCAGACCTCCCTCTCCTCAAGGAGGTCACCTTCAAGTCATTTTCTGTCAGAGGCCTTCCCTGCCCTACCTTGACTTCAAACAAGTAAAATCATTTTTTAGTAGACGTGGATGCTTTGTTTTCAGTTAAGGAAAACCACATGGAGTGTTTGTTCTGGGGCGTTTTGTCAACTCTTTCAACAGATAACCCTGCCCCCCTCCTCCCTACAGTATCCCTGTCTCCCCCTCAGCCCCTCCCCTTCATAATTACATTCTGCACTTGAAAACAGATAAATAAGTCGTGTATACAGTACTGTACAAGCTGGTATCCATTACCAGAGTGAAGCAAAGGCAGACAAGGGGGAGGGGAGGAACACTGGGTGTGGTGGGAACCAGTTGTTGTTTTAAATAGGCTACAGGTTAGGCTTCCTTGAGAAAATGGGATTTGATTGAAATGGAAGAGGACCGGGGAGGCCACCTTGGTGGATCTGGGAGAGCTCAGGCTTGAAGCAAGAATATGAAGGAAAGAGATCAGACTAGCCAGGGCAGCAAGAGCCATGGAAAAGGGGAAAAAGGGGAAAGGACATGTTCAGGGAGGGACATGCATTCAAGGAGTAGGTGCAGCTTATAGGAAGCTCTTGCTTCTCTGTCTTCAGTGATGAAAGACCCGTATGTTACACAGGTCATCACAGACCAATATTTTTACCAAATTTGAAAAATGAATATTTAAAAATAGTAAACACAACAGAACAATGCTTTATCATTAGAATCTCTCTGTCTCTCTCTCTGTCTCTGTCTCTCTCTCTCTCTCTCTCTCTCTCCTCCCTCTCTCTCTGTCTCTCTCTGTCTCTCTCTGTCGCCAAATAGTAAACAAGTTTCTGAATGAGGACTCTGTATTTCCTTCCCCCAGTTCAGCATAGACTAAAGCCTATACAGTCCAGAGGCCACACTCAGGTTTCTCTGTGAGACCTTGGCTCTCCTCAGACAAAAAGGAGCGCTGTTACAGTATTTCAAACTGAAGAAAGCCTGTGTGACTTCAATTGTGGTGAAGGCTAGATTGTAGAATGCAGAGAGTCCTTCTAGGGAGAGAAGGGCAGAGGGCAGGGAGACCATCCTGATGGTGGTGGGCCAGGTTGGGATGTAACAGTGAGAAAGATTAGAAGCTGTCAGCTCTGGATGGGCGTTTAATGTAGATCCAACAGAACTTCCCGATGGTTTTGGATGTGACAGTCAAGGGAGACACCAAAGGTCAGTGTAGGCAACAGGAAATGGAGCTACTGCCCACCCTCTTCTAACTAGGGAGGCTCTGCAGGGGAGGAGAGTGAGGAGAAGAGTTCTGTTCTCGTGCTGTGAGTTTGATTCTTTTTGTTGTTGTTGTTGTCATTTTGTTTTGTTTTTCGAGACAGGGTTTCTCTGTGTAGTCCTGGCTGTCTTGGAACTCACTCTGTAGGCCAGGCTGGCCTCGAACTCAGAAATCTGCCTGCCTCTGCCTCTCAAGTGCCACCACTGCCCGACTATGAGTTTGATTCTTAAGTGTTGGGGATTCAGTCAGTGGAAACCTGTTTATGGCCATGGTGTTACCTGAAGACTGGGGACCCAAAACGGAGTGAAGTTGGCTTCTCTGGTCATCAAGGGTCATAGAATTTATGTCAAACCTTAGTGACACTAAATATGAAATAACTCCTGATGTTTTACTATTTGATGAAAGAAAAACAAAGGTAAAGTACAAAAGTGTGTCAAGGTAATAAAGCTAATTCTTTAAATTAAGTATGTAATGTGTGTTTGTAAACGGTGAGCCAGAGAAGAATAAAACACTGCCATCACTAGGGGAAGAGGCTCTAGGTGGCTCCTTTCTCTTGCACCCGTTGGTGTCTTGCTCTAAGAATTGGCAGTGACGATAACAGCAGGTATAAATGAGTGCACCATCCATGCAAGCCTTTCTCTCGGTCCCACAGCTCACCATCTGCTACCTGGACATGCTGATGACCAGTGAGGAACGCCGGAAGCAGCTGAGGGACCAGTACTGCTTTGAGTGTGACTGCATCCGATGCCAAACACAGGACAAGGTAGGTGGGGTAAGAGCAGAGTGAAGCATTGCATGGCTGTGTCTGAAAGGTCTGTGCTCACACTAAAGTGCACTGGTAAATGGAGCAGGGCGTTTGCTGCACCCTTCAGTTCCTGGCACCTTCCTCTCCTGCCAAGGTGAGATTTAAGATCTGTGGGGCTTTGGGTATCATGGGAATATAGATGTTAAACACATGACGTTAAACATGTAATTAAAAGGATATGAAAGGCCAGAGAGCTGTTAGAGCATACAGTAAGAAGCCTGAATTATGTTACAGTTGTCAACAGTTACTACTGAGCAATAAACACCCAAATAGTATGCTGTCTTCCTAGTTCTTTTAAATTTGTTCCGTAAGGCTCTCTTCCGCAGCCCCTTATCAGATGGTGCTCACTTACTTCACAACTCTCACTCTCTGAGGAAGACGAGCCAAGACAAATGCTCTAAAGATAATAAATGGCTCTCCAATTACTCATGCACTGTCCTCATTTTGAACCTATCTGCTTTGGTTTGCACGCAATCAGCTTATATGCCATAATCTTACTTCTGTGGGGTGTTTACGTTGTTAGATGTCTTTTATGGTCATTTTCATTTTATGTCAATACTTATAAATAAATTGTGAAGGCAAACTCAAGACAGGCTCAGAGATATGCCTCTGGGATGATATAAAGAAAGAAGTGACAGAAGCAGCAGCTCTCCCATTCAGGTCTGCTGGCTCAGTCAGGTTGTTCTTGCACCATGCTGGGGCCACCTGTGCTTGTCTCATCACTGTCTGAGGAGAGGTGATTGCTCTTCTTGAGAAAGGACCAAGAGCCCCTTAGAGTACTGGAAACAGCAGATACAAGTGGTTTTGCATGAAAGGGAACTTTAAGAACTGGGAGTGGTGGCACATGCCTTTAATGCCAGAACCCATGGTGAGGTGTGTCTTTAATCCCAGAATTCATGGTAGGATGTCTTTAATCCCAGAATCCATGCTGGCACAGTTCTTTAATCCCAGCAGTCAGGAGGCAGAGGCAGGTGGATCTCTGAGTTCAAGGCCAGCCTCCCCTTAGGAGAGTGTTCCAAATCAGCCAGAGCTACATAGTGAGACCCTGTCTCAAAGGAAGGAAAGAATTAAGTAGAAAACGTTGAATCTGCTGCAGATAGATAGCACCAAGATTCAGTCTACCTTGGTATCATCCCAGAAGTCACAGGGACCCCCTCGACCCACCCCCTCTTCGTGCAGACTATGATCTAGAGTGGAACCGTGCTGGGTTTTCCACAGCCCTTAGTTGGGAAGTCTCTGGTTCCTCTTCATTTCTCAAGGATGGTAGACCATTGAAGTCTTTCTGAATAGAACCAGCAAGGTGACTCAGGGTAAAGGTGCCCTCGGCCAAGCCTGACAGTGTGAATTTTATCTTCAAGATCCATGTGGTAGAAGGAGAGAACAAACACACAAGCCCTCCTCTGACCTTCTCCCGTTCTCTGTGGCACATGTGTACCCCGACACACACAGTAAACAAATGAACACAAAGTTAAAAATATTTCTAAAAGAAAAGAATTCTTGAGTGAGTGAACATGTTTCATTTAAGATCAGTTTGTGATCCTGTTTGTTTGATTGTAACTATAATGATTAGGAAACTGTCTGGCCACAAATACATATAAACAAAATGTTCACCAATCGGTGAGGCCCGTTAGAGGTAATTCTGGAGAAGTAATCTAAAGGCAGCTACTCATTGATCTCACCATAAATCCCTAAGCGCTCTCTCTCTCTCTCACTCTCTCTCTCTCTCTCTCTCTCTCTCTGTGCGTGTATGTATGTGTGTGTGTGTGTGTGTGTGTGTGTGTTTGGGACACTGAACCTCAAGCCTTGTATATGCTATACAAATACTCAGCTATATTTTTAATGCTTATTCATTTGTTTATTTTAATTTTTATTGTAATACAGGGTCTCAAAAGTTAAGAAAGCATGATCCTACTGCCTCAGCTTTCTAAGTAGCTGTAATTATAGGCCTGTACCACCAGACAGAATTCCTGTGGTGAATTGAATGAGAATGGTCCCAATAGGCTCATATATTTGAATATTTGGTACACAGTTAGTGGAACTGTTTGGGAAGGATCAAGAGGTATGGCCTTGTTGGAGGAGCTGTGTTTTAGTAGGTAGGCTTTGAAGTTTCAAAAGCGCACCCCAGGCCCAGGGTCACGCTCTCTGCCTACAGCTCTCATCTAGTGCCCCAGCGCCATGTCTGCCTGGATGCCTGCTTCCCATCATGCTCTCCACTATGACGTCCATGGACTAACCCTCTGACACTGTAGTCAAGCTCCCAACTAAATGCTTCCTTTTATAAATTGCCTTGATCATGGTGATTCTTCCCAACCATAGAACAGTCACTAAGACAGTCCCCAGGGCATTTCTTCTTCTGTTGTAGTTCATACCATATGGCTTTTGTCTTCATGTTTCCAAGATGGCTGCTGCTCCCAAAACCTACTTGGTGTTTTCAAGTTCCAGACAGGGAAAAGAAGGTGCTATAGAGATTAGGGAGCAATGTAGACCCTCTTAGGGATGTGGACTTACAGGCCATTGTTAAAGGCTGTGTCACCTAACCTATAGCTCTAAAAGAGGCCAAAACATTGTATCTTAGATTTTTGCCCTTGGAGGACATTGGATAACCAATCTACAATCTCTGCATCCTATTTAGTCAATTTCAGCCCCTTTGTTGAACTCAAGTTTATTAGAGAAATTGTATGTATGTGTGTTTACACCTTCGCACAGTTGTCATTTGTCACTTCACAGTCAGATACATTTGTCATTAGGTAATTTTGTCATTGCATATGTAGGAACACAGTATACTTACTGTGGTGAGCTTATTTTATAGAGTATAATCACTATGCTCTAAAAATCACAAAGTATAGCATAACAAGTAGTATAGTCACTTGTTGACCATTGTATATTTTATTTGATTATGCATATACTTGACTCTATTGCCAGTACAGTAGGTTTCTCTATACTGGTAACGTATTGTACAGTAATGCTACATCGATGGTATCACTATGCAACAAGACTTTTTCAGCTCCATCATAACATTATGGAACTCAGTATGATGTCAGTCAGTTATAACCAGCTCTCAACAGTATGGAAGTTAACAAATTCTAAGATTTGACACCCAGCTGGAAACCCAAGAGAACCAGCTGGTGTGAATTCTACACCAAAAGTTTATAGGCTCGAGACCAAGAGTTGCTATTGAGGTCTGAAGCCAAGGATAGGAATAACCTGTATCTCCATTAAAGCGGTGAGTAGAGACTGTTTCCTTTCAACTGATGGAATGTCAGCCTCCTTATTCTGTGCAGGCTCTCAGCTGACTGGGTCACTCACATGGGAGGGAGGGAACTCTCCTATACTCAGTCCATGGATAAAATGTTACTGTTGGTTATCTTGTGGCTAGTCAAGTTGACATGTAACAAACATGACATGTCATTAGTGCCATGTTAGAGGCAGGCCAAAGAGTGGAATCCAGAAAGTAAGTTGCTGGATTCTAGTCCATTCTGTATGTGGCACACTGGTCATTTGGCTGTTTTCTCTGTAGGATTATTCTATCTCTATTGTAAAGGACATGGATTCCAGGTGTGAAGGTGTCCCGTCCCATTGTCCCATGTTTCTACAAAATGTTTCCATGTAGATGCAAGTAGGATATGTACTTACATGCATAAACCTGTTATATTTTCAATTTCCCATTTATCGGGGAATTTTGTTCTGCTTAGTGATATCCGTGCCCCAGTCTGCATAGTGTGAATTTGCCCAGGGGAAAAAATATCCACAGGTAAACTGACTACTTAGCACATTCTCCCAAAGGCTGTAAATTCAGAATCCCAGAACAGTCAGAGTTAATTGTGCTTCAGTCCTAGATACGTGTTTTTCTTGGAACCTGGGAAGCTCATTGTCTCAGTTCTACTAACCATGAAGTATCTAGCTGGTGCACACATCTGCCGTTGCTGGAGTTTGCTGGTTTCCTGTTTCAGGAAGGCAGGAACCACACTTCTAGCATGTACAATGTGCACACGTGAATTTTCCCTTTTAAATCAGCAGCGACTTAATATCTGGAAGAAAGAAAACTGACCACCTTAAGGAGACTTTGAAATGTGTAGGGATCTCTTATGTCTTTCCTCAGGTCAGCATCTAAGACGACACAAGCAGAATAGACCAAATGGGATTGATCATGTCCATAAGTTTGTGGTTGGTACATAACAAGCCCTCAGTGCCTCATGCTTTATTGCTTCCCATACCCAAAAAAGAAGAAGAAGAGAAATCTGTGTTTACTGCTAATGCCACGTTTTCTTCCCTAAGGCCAACTGTATTTAATTCTTTTATAAATCACCACAGCTAGGGACTGAGATTGCTCAGGGGGTAAGGGAGCTTGCAGTGCGAGGATGCGGAACCGAAGTTTGCATCTCCAATGCCCACATAAAAGCTAGAAACAGCCATGAATGCTTGTAATCCCAGAGCTGGGGGCAGAGATGGGAGGACCCTGTGATCTTGCTGGACAGCCCAGGCTAGCTAAACAGCAGCAAGCTTCAAGTTCAGTGAGAAGCCTTATCTCAAAGGGATGAAGCAGAGAGCGACAGAGAAAGGCATCCAGCATCCTACTCTGGCTTCCTCATGTGCATACACAGGCATTTGCACCTGCATACACATTTGTATGTGTACATACACACACTACACACACATACACAACAAACACCACACACATACACTTCGCAATACTCACATACTGTATACACACACCTCAATACACACATATATATATACACACACATATACACCCCATCAACACATACAACATACACTGTGTGCATACACACATGCCATACATACACACCCCAATACAATATACACCCCAATACACATATACACACCACATACACATATACACAAACCACACACACATAGACACCACACATACCACATACACGCACACCAAAATATAGTTTATTAAAATAATAATAAGCTGCTATGTCTATCAGTCCACT